GGGCTTAAACACTCGGACACTTATTCGGACCCTCTTGCGTGATGGTAGATATGTAGTTCTGGTGCTTACTTGCCATTTCCCACGCATTAGGACTTAAACACTCGGACACCTATTCGGACCCTCTTCCATAATGGCTGTTATCACACTGTTCACTTTACAGCTGTATAGCTTTATCCCCCAGAAAATATCAATATCCGGGGGATATTTTGTGGGGGAAAGTTGGCCTCCTTTTCCCCCACCTTTACACCCCCTTTTTGGTCCTTATAACGAGTAGCCAACATCACATTTTGGGGTTGGAAAAAATTGTCTTCAAGCCTCAATACACATATCTCCCTCCATCTTCCTCATTTTCCTAAAAATCCTTAAGTCCTATACCTTGTTTTCTTCATCACCATCAAGCTCTACCACCACCACTCCATTTTAGCAGCAAGGGGAAGAATTCCAGCAGCTAAGAGGCAACAAATTTGGTCCAAGAAGCAACAAAAGCTTTGGTCTTCAAGGGTGAGTTGCACTTCACCCTTTTGGGCCCTTTTCTTGTATCTTTTGTAATCCCTCTATGCTTTTTGCTTTGAGCTCCGGCCATAACTGAAAGTGGCCTTCTTTTGAGCTCATTTTCATGTCTCATTAAGGGCTCAACCCTGTTTGAGCCCTCCATCTTGTACTTGCTTCATTATCCCTCTAAAATGTCATTTTCTTGCACGATATTTTTAGCTTGTGTGTGATTTGTTTTGGAGCATGTTGTAAACTGATAATAGGCTTATTTTGAGCCCCTCTTCAACATTGAAGAAGGGCTCACCACTTTTTGGGACCTCCATGTTATACTTGCCTTTATACTCCTTTTTTGGTCCCATTTTTGCATGCTTGGGCAGCCTATTGTGCTTTTGTTTTTGGCCATTTTACAGTTCTGAAAATAGTCTTATCTTGGCCCATTATTCATGTTTCATTAAGGGTCTTTGGCCGTTTGTGGAATATTTTGTATACTTTGTGTTATAGCCACTTTTGAGCCTCATTTTACATTGCATTTCTAGCATGTTTGTATACTGTCTTGGAGTTTTTACAGTTCTACAAATAGTCATATTTTTGGTCCCTCTTCAATGTTGTAGAAGGAAATTTTTCAGTTTGGATTTTTCTTATATCACTTGCTTCATTAACCCTCTCTTGGCCCCTATTCTTGCATGCCATTTTTGCCATACCTATGCTTGCTGTTTGGCCATGTTTATAACTGTGAAAGTGCCTTTTTCGGGACTTTCTAGCTTCTGTCTTTGCATTACATGTCCATATTGTGCATGTTTGGCATAGCTATAGGCCATTTCGGGTGCCTAAATTCGCATTTCGGGACAATTCCATGCATTTGGTGTCATTTCGCCTCATTTCGGGACTCT